CTTTAAAACCGACGCTCTACGTAACGAAATTAATAATAAAAATTTAATATAGTTTTTTTATAACGGATTTAAAAATAAAATAAAAAACGAACTATATAAAAAAAAAAGACCGGATATTATTAATAAATATATTATTATAGCTATTTATATCGACGATTAATAGTTTTAACGTTAAATAGAAAAAAGAAAAATATATATTAATTTAAAATAGTATTATAATACTAAAAATTATTAAATTAATAATAAAAAAAAATATTATTTTATAAATGTATTTAGAATTACTTACGTAAGACTTATAAAAATTAATATAGTTTAAAGGTAGTTTAAAGGAAAGAATAGTATTAAATACTTTAATTATAAAAAAATTAAATATTTTAAACGAAATTACCGAGTATTTAAGTAATTTAAATAAAAAGAAAAAGAAATAATAATAATTATTAAAATAATATAAATTATTAAAATTTTTAATATTAAATACTTTTATAAGGATTTTCGGGATTTAACGAACGATTATACCGATAATAATTATAGGTATAAAGCTTAGAAGGGAAAATTAATAATTAATTCCGAAAGAAAAAACTATATTATAAAATAAAAATTACCGGTTAAAGGAACTATAAAGTTAAAAGAAAATATTATTTCCGGACCCTTTAAAAAAACTTTATAACGGTTAGTATAGGTTTTTACCGTTAATATAATTAATATTTTAAAAATAAAAGGGACTTTAAAATAAGTTAAAAAATAAGTTTAAAAATTCGAAAAAAAAATAAAAGAATTTTAAAGTTAGTAAAAAATAATTAAATAATATTATTATAATATTAAAAATAAAGTAATATAAATTATAATTAATAATTAATCGTTTATATAATTATAGTAAAATAATAAACGATAAATCGTTTTAAAAAAAAAGTTTAATAAAAAGTTTATATTATTTAATAAGGGTAAGGAAATTTAAAATAAATTTTAAACGTTACGATTAGTAATTAATATTAAACTTACGTTAATATTAAGAGAGGTTCCGGAGTATAGGTAGTATATTTTTTATAAAGGAAATATATTATAAATTTATTTATAATATTCGGAATATAGAAAAGTATTATAATTTTAGTATATTATTTATAGATACGTAGAATATTATTAATTAAAAACCTTTAATAAGTATTAATCGGTTAAAAAAGTTATTTAAATAAATTAATTAATATTAATATTAAAGACTTTTATAAAGTAAAAAGCGTTAAATAAAAAATTAAATAATTATTTCTTATAGAAATAAAGGGACTTAATTAAATTAAAGGAACTTTAAATTATATAGGTTACGTTTAGGTACGTAAGGTATTACCTTAAGTAAGTAATAAGCTAAAAAGAAAATACCGTTAACGAAAAGGAATATAGCT